TCCGCTTCGTAAAACGTACCCCAGAGAGGTTCTCCATCATAATCTTTCAGTTTGTACACGGGGGGGTACTCGGGGTACGCATTCGGCCACCGTAAACACCTCGTCAGTATAACTCTGCTTGTATTTCTTATCAAACACGCCTCTCACTTTAGATATTCTCACCAGATCTCCCTGTTTAAAATTCATCTTCAACTTTTCTTGGAAGCTCAGGGGGATCGAGCCGTACAGGTTTTGAAAAACTTGCAGGGTGTTTTCAGACGTCACTTGCATAGGCGTCATTTTTATAGTTGTGTGATAGCCGTTATTATAGCTTTTAACCAAGTCCTGCAGGACATCTACGTACCTGCGGGTGTTTTTGGCGGAAAATACCTCCACATTCTAGTTTTCAACATACGGTTAAATCTCTCCACCACTGAGGCCTTCAGATCACTGGCCGTGGCGAAATGTTTAATACCGCGTTTATCCATCAGCGCCTTAAAAGTCCTGTTAAAGAATTCTTTACCCGTGTCCATTTGTAACTTTTCAGGGGTCTGACTATCGTCTAAAACAGAGTCAAACGCCCTAGTGACTTGGGACGCCGTTTTGTTCTTTAGTGCTCACACGTACGCTTTCTTTGAAAACACATCGATGACCGTCAACAGATATTTAAAACCGTCCTTGTGCTCGGTCAAGGCTTGCATGTTACAGAGGTCCGCTTGAAATTGGTTCAGAGGTCGCGGTACAAAAACCCTATTTCTGGGAAAATGTATTCTGGCAGGTTTATGCAGAGTGTATGCGTCTTGCTCGGCTAAAAATTCTCTGACTCGGTCAGGGTTTACTCTTTTACCCGTCTCATCTTGTACAGCACTGCGGAGTAGTTCGACTCCTCCTAAACTACCAGGGTGAGACAGGTCATAATAAACCTTTTTCATGACACGTTTCTCCGACATGTTGAATCAATAATGAACACAACCGCTCGCTTACCAAAACATTTATTTTAAAACAAAAACAATCGCAAGTTATACGAGGTATACATGATTCAAACATTTAAGTTATACAAGCTATACATGCTTCAAAACATTTAAGTTATATGATATGAGGTATACATGTTGAAAACATTTAAGATATATGAGCTATACACACTTCAAAACATTTAAGATATATGAGGTTTACACGCTTCAAACATTTAAGTTATATGAGCTATATACATGCTTCAAACATTTAAGATATATGAGCTATACACGGTTACAAACAACAACAACATAGCATTAGGCTAAAGCAGACGAGAGCAAATTCATGGCAGAGGTCCCGTGGATAATGCGAATATAATAATGCAACCTTCTCAATTCTGTCAAAGTGTCCGCAGGTACGAGACAACTCACTGCATCTACAGACAAAGCGTACAGAGTAAGCAAATGGCTTACGTTTGAGGCATTCATCTCACCGAACCGTCTTTTACAAGTTGCAATGTGGACCGTACCAACACATCCCAGGGTGTATGTACAGACTGGGACCTAACTATATCCAACATGCATTCCAATCGAGTTACTTTAACGTCCCTGTTCAAACCCGCGATTCACAGTCATTTTGTTTTTAATAACCTGATCCAAAACACGGATTAAATGACAAATGACTGCGTGTTCCTCTACACGCGTTACGAGTTTAGTCCAGTAGTGACCCATTTTCACTCTATAAGCCAAAACTCCAGAGCTCGGTCTACGATTTCAATCTTTTCCTCGTCCCCTTCGGTCATCGTGTTGTAAATCTTGGCGATCAAGTGGTCGATGCGTCTCATCATCTTAAAGTCATGCAGCAGGAAATCACAAGCGCCCCGGATCCGGTACTCGGACACGCAGAGATGGTGAGCGTTAAGAGCTCGTTGGATGGTAGGGATAAACCGACCTGTCCAAAGTCTTTCCATCAGCTGGGAGTGGTATGCCTCGTAAAAATAGTCCGGCGTCTCTTCCAGACATTCGTGCTGACACTGACTCGGATGGTTGATTTGACACCCATTGCAGATTTCCTTTCTGTACCGGGCCAAAACATACAGCAGCAGTTTACTCACTACGGCTCTCACCGTATTCAGAAATGCCGNACATAGCATTAGGCTAAAGCAGACGAGAGCAAATTCATGGCAGAGGTCCCGTGGATAATGCGAATATAATAATGCAACCTTCTCAATTCTGTCAAAGTGTCCGCAGGTACGAGACAACTCACTGCATCTACAGACAAAGCGTACAGAGTAAGCAAATGGCTTACGTTTGAGGCATTCATCTCACCGAACCGTCTTTTACAAGTTGCAATGTGGACCGTACCAACACATCCCAGGGTGTATGTACAGACTGGGACCTAACTATATCCAACATGCATTCCAATCGAGTTACTTTAACGTCCCTGTTCAAACCCGCGATTCACAGTCATTTTGTTTTTAATAACCTGATCCAAAACACGGATTAAATGACAAATGACTGCGTGTTCCTCTACACGCGTTACGAGTTTAGTCCAGTAGTGACCCATTTTCACTCTATAAGCCAAAACTCCAGAGCTCGGTCTACGATTTCAATCTTTTCCTCGTCCCCTTCGGTCATCGTGTTGTAAATCTTGGCGATCAAGTGGTCGATGCGTCTCATCATCTTAAAGTCATGCAGCAGGAAATCACAAGCGCCCCGGATCCGGTACTCGGACACGCAGAGATGGTGAGCGTTAAGAGCTCGTTGGATGGTAGGGATAAACCGACCTGTCCAAAGTCTTTCCATCAGCTGGGAGTGGTATGCCTCGTAAAAATAGTCCGGCGTCTCTTCCAGACATTCGTGCTGACACTGACTCGGATGGTTGATTTGACACCCATTGCAGATTTCCTTTCTGTACCGGGCCAAAACATACAGCAGCAGTTTACTCACTACGGCTCTCACCGTATTCAGAAATGCCGCAGACAGCACTGAGTCCATTTCATTGTGCATTCCTTTACAAGGAGGTCCGGTTCGCACATCTGCGGTGGGAGCGGGCCGTGAAGAAGAACCATCGCTGTCGGGTGAATCGGGTGTTGTTGGAGTCGATGGAGGAGGACTAGGAGGAAAGCCTTGGGAGGGCTGCAGCGGTGGAGAAGGAGAGGCCCAACACCTCAGTGACGGCAGTGCAGAAGAAGGCCTGATAAGGTCGGCCTCTGGCGATGAAGGAGCTGGCGAAGGCCTGATAAGGTTGGCCTGGAGCTGATGAAGGCGGGAGAGACATGTTTTTCAGAGTCCGTCGGTCGTTTTTAACTAGTCTGCCCCAGTCGTAGCTTTTTTTAAACGTATTGGTACGGAGGGAGGGGTTTTTGAAAAAGGAGGAGTCTTCTAAAACAGCGTTTTTTTCACAAGCATAATGTCTCTAGAGCTCCGACTGCTGACAAAGAGTTCCTTAATATTTTCTGCATTTTCCTCCATCATTTCCAACCAGTCTGTGAGAGGAATGCGTAATGACGCCTGGAATACGCCACATTCAGAACTGAAATACTCCAAAACAAATTCGTCCGGGTGTTTGTCATTCAGCGACACCTGACGGCTGGCTCGATAGAACCATCTGCCTGAAGCCGAGCTTTTTGTCTCCCACACGCTGGTGCTCACAATTTTCTTCTTCTCTGTACCCGGCAGACTTTGTTTCAGGCTGTGCGAGGAATTTGCTTCTCTCGTGTCTCTTGTCTCGGGTGCTCTAAGATCAGTCAATCCCACCATATTTAACACACTCCAGTCTATTGAGGTGAGTGTTGCTTGGGCCACAAGAGATCCAAAAGTTTCCCCTTTCTACAACTGATAGAAACACACTTCGTTAGCTTTATAGTTGAACTTGTAACCCCACGCACCTCCGGCATCTAAACTCCATTCCTGCATAAGAGCGGAGGCCGGAGGCATCTGCATGCGTCCGATATGCCTGACACGCTTCTGGGGTGCTGGCCACGATTCACAATAACTCGTCACAATGGTGCCGCAGATGACATTTCTCTCATCATCGTACATCATTTTCCCTCTTCTTCCCGGCGTTTCTTTTTCATTCGCCGCTGCATTCTCGGAGGCATCCAACGCTCTCTTGGCCATGTTTGTTTTCTCTTAGTTTATTGTTTTTTCTTGAATAAAAATCCAGAGTCTTTTCGCTCTCTTTTAAACACATTTGCTCAATGCAGCTTTTTAGGAGAGGGGGGCGGAGGTCCGCGGATCTCAACAATGATTGGTGTTTAGCTGATGAGTGCGGTTGAAGTAGGTCAAAGGTCACCATCCATCATCTTTAAATTCGACATAAGCTGTATTATTCATTCTCTCTTACTTTTGTTTTCACTGCAGTGCTGTTATGATGCCCCTCGCTTGCATGAACTTAAAATTGAAGAAAACCCGTCATGTTTCTGTGCACTGTAGACTGTTGCCGTTTGATGTATTCTACATCCCACATCTGGAGACGTGCAGTATCTTCTGTGGACCAAACCACTCCTTGTCCTGCGTCCTTGCAAGTGTTACAGGTCAACGTGGTTTTGTCTGTTTTTTTCAGGCGTCCCAGTGCAACAGCTTGTGATCTAGATGGCTAACTACAATGGCAAAGAGCAAAGAGAACCTGGAGCGCTTTGTGCTCACAAGGCACAGGTTAAGTGAACCACACCGCAAACTTGAAGCAAACCAAACCCAGACCACCTCAGGTGATTTCACACTTCTTTTCAGCCCTCGAAACAGACTCAGAGTGGTAACTCTGCATTTTTTGTGCATATAGGGAACTCAGACCCCTCTGAAGCAAACTGAACCGCGGACTTGAAGAGAACCAAACTCAGACCACCTCCCGAGGTGGTCATAAGAGAGAAAGATGTGGTCATTGAAAGCAGTGAACAGTGAACCACAGTTTTGTCCAGTGTCATCTGTTGTCTCAACTGTATGAAGATATTTGAAATAAATGAAGTCAGTAGTGAGAAATGCATTTTTGTCAAATGGTAAAAAGAATTTAATTTAGTTTACATGGTGTCTTTTAAAATTCATCATATTCTAATCTGTTCTGTTTTGCAGGAGGGTGTTTGGCTCTGGAATGATGGTACACGTTTCAGCTTTTCATACTGGTGCAGGGGGGAGCCGAACAATGATGGGTGGCAGCACTGTATACAGATGAGTTATGGAGGTAACTCATTCAGATGATAAAGTACTCGTGGTGTGGATGATAACAGCTATATACATGTCAAAAATGAGATGAATATAAAAAATGCATCCATCAATTCTTGTGAGTTTTGTTGAATCATTAAAGGACAGAGAGAGCACATAACTCTGCAAAGGCTGAACATCCCTCTCCATTTGTTATCTTAACAGATAATACAAAATGTTTAGGAAGTTGTAGTCTGCTTCAAAATATATACAGTGCGAAACAGTCACACTCATGTCCTGTGTTTCTATCACATGCAGATAACAAATGCTGGGATGATACAAAGTGTCACTATCACCTATCTTCTGTCTGTGCCAAGAAAATCTAACGATTCCTGGTCTGACACACGAGGCATGAAGTCCCTGTAAGCAACACAAACTGGAGGATTGTTTGAGTATGTTTGCAGACTCATCTGTCTTTATGCCATCAGTCTCATGTAACCTGAAGGCTCTGTATCACATTTCTTATTTGTCTTTGCTATCGCTGTAACGCTACTGAAGGAATGAAGTGACAAGTGACATAAACAGGAGCTGGACTGTCTCTGAGGCCTTGTGCCTTTAATGAGAGCAGACTGAATGTGTTATGAAAAGAATGCTTTTAGCACAAATCTACATATATTCTGCAAAGTAAACTCTTCTTTCTTGTCTTATGCAAAATTAAAGGCTCAAGCATCAAAACAAACTTGTCTGCGTTTTGTCTCCTGTCTTAATCAGAGATGTCTGGATCCTCTGAGCTGATCCAAACATTGTTTCATGGTTTTCTGTCAGCTAAACAAATGAACCTTACTGAAATCTGCAGTTTTGTCCTCCTCAGCCTGCTGAGGAGGACAAAACTGTTTTTTTGGATATTCAGTTAAAATTTGCTCTATGTTTGAATGTAACTTGACTAATGATGATCCTGTCATTGTTTCCTGTGTGTTGTTTTACAACTGTTTCACTTAACCACTAATGAGCCTTGGATATGGCCCTGACACTACACTTTGTGGTATGATGGTGGTAATCTCCTGACACGTGGCTCACTTGTTTGATTGTTTTGGATCTGTTCCCTGGCTTTGCACGGAAGCTTTGAGAGAATTTCCAGAGAAGAGAGGAGACTTATTAAGACAACATCCTTAGTAAATATTTTAACCTTTGTTTGCACAGAGTGAATATCATCAAAACCCTTTACCAGCCACACCCTGCACATCGACACAGTTACGCACATGTGCACCTGGAAACCATGTCAGCGTTCCAGGAATAAAAGAACAATGTTGATGGAAAACTCTAAACTTTCCTATTGTTAAAAAATATATAGATGATACAACATGATGAAAGTTTATATGAACGGATTTTGTCACTCGTAACATTACTCTATGGCGTAATACTATTTAGTGAATATAACCATGATCCAAGTTGTGGAACTACAGTGCACGATGGTTTGGTGGATGTAAACAGGAAGTCTTCTGTTGCATGGANGATCCAAGTTGTGGAACTACAGTGCACGATGGTTTGGTGGATGTAAACAGGAAGTCTTCTGTTGCATGGAGTGGTGATGAGATAGCTGTGGGATATAACTTGAGTTTAGACTATATTTTTTTTAAATTTTGGCAACTTGGCAACATTATGTATGTTGAATTACAACTATGACTACTTTGATACTAAAAAAACCTTAAAAACATGATTATTCTCAGGCAAAATATGGATTCTGATGCACATCGCAGCACTCAGGCATTAAGGGATTTATTGCCTTCAAGTATCTGCTGTTGCTTCAACTGCTGATGATGTTGATAAGCAGCCAAACCAGCAACCAAACTGCACTGATTAACTGAATGTAGTTTCCGGAAAGGAAGACATCCTTTGCTCAAGACAGTTATGTCTGAGCTGTTGTCTGAAATTCTTTATAAAAATTATATTTATTACTTGGAAAGTGTAAAAAAAAGTATCAGTATATTTGTGGGTTGCAGTCAATTAAAGAAAATTCTGGACAAAATTCTGCTTTTATTTCAACCATCTGATTGGTCGATGAGAAAAAAAATCTTAATGTTATCTCTGGATGAACTACTTGGCAGAGTTGTGTGTCATTCAAAGCATTTTTTTTTTCCTGAGGCAAGCGCTGTAATGAGACTCAGGAGTGCAGTGTATTTACACTCCACTACAGACAGCAGCAGCATGATGAGGCCCTGAGCAACTTCATCATTCCTGACTCAGTGATGCATGTCTTGGTTTTTTTTCTGGTTGCAGAGAGTTGAAAAATGTTGAACTTTGTGTAAAACGCTGCACTCTTCACTGTCACTTTTTACCATTAACTGTAAAGATAATTAATGACCACGTTTGGTTGAGAAGCCGATTCTGTTGAGGAGCAAAGGGTGGAGCTGACCGATGAGCCGAGGGCACTATCAGCAGACCCAAATTTGAGGTTATTACCTCAAGGTGTTCTTGAGATATTGTGTTCACAAGAGTAAGATGAAGAAGGTCACAGTGACCTTGGCCTTTGACCTTTAACCACCAAATCAGTTCACCCTCGAGTCCAAGTGTACGTTTGTTCCAAATTTAAAGAAATTCCCTTGAGGCGTTCTTGAGATATTACGTTCACAAGAATGGACAGACGAACTTACATATGGACACATGGACAACCCGAAAACATAATGCCTCTGTCCAGGGCTACTGCAAGTGCAGAGGCATAAAAAGAGGTAAAGAGAGAGATAAAGGGAAGCAAACCTGCTGGTGGATTATCTTCTCTTCTTCCTTCTCAGTGTCAGCCTGAGCGTAGATGTTCAAAAACCAAAGACCAGCTCTCATATACAGAAAATGATCTATCCATCAATCATAAAATATGTTTAAAGTACATTGTTATGGAGGGACAGGTACTTCCTGGATAGTACTTTGGCTGGCTGAGTACCCCTCTAGATATCACTTAGAGAATATGGTGAAGACTTAAAGCACCTATGTTGAGAGGAAAAGGTTCATGTCTCTTTACCGATGATGGAATGAGTAGTGTTACCAGTGGTCAA